TTCACAAGCGCATGGCACAACATAGAAGAGCCGCCTCCACAGGACAAGACTCACCACTCCATCTGCATCTAAAGGACAAAGGTCACTCTTTCGAGGATGCCAATGTTCACATTTTGGACAGAGAGGACAGATGGTTTGAAAGAGGAGTGAAAGAAGCCATCTATGTCCACTGTGAGCGACCATCTTTGAACAGAGGCGGTGGTTTACGACATCAACTGTCTGCCATCTATAATCCAGTCCATAACGGAAGAAACGCAGCTGGGACAAATCTGACATAATGAGATGAGGGAAGGTAAAACTAGATATATTGACGTATATGCAGACTATCAAAAATAGACAGGAAATATGGCACATACACACCACCACCATCCTCTCACTCCTGCAACCCTGGATCTAAAAAGGTCAGGGAGGGTGTTAAAATGAAAATTGATTTGCAATAACTGAAAATCATTTTGTGAATTTTTTTCTGCACTTCTAGTATCTACAGAAGGCAAAAGCAGGTCTCAGGAAAACCTCTTAGAAAACTAAATGTGTAAATCCAAAGTGAAGGTGAATCAAAATTAATGAATATAAAGATATTTTCAGGCCATGTAAAATCCAGTAATAAATCTTTAGATGTATTGTATTACCCTGTGTTCAAAAGCTGCAAACTGCATTTTCTAAAATCTCACTAAAAGCAGTTAGCTGTTCTAACAAATGTCTTTTTCTGTGCATACTCTTGTCATATTACTTTAGTCTTCAGTTAGTTATAGACTAATAGCAAAACTGTTGTGCTTGTAGACACGAACTGATTTTTCTGAAGTTGCTAAACAGCTCTACAGTAAAGTAGGAGACAAATCCAAGTCTATAAATGTTTGTTGTGATTTTCTTATTGTAAAGTTGGTTATTACAGTATTTCTTGTGCAGTTCATAAATCTCAGACACATACAAAAGCTACCACTGTGAATAAAGACACACTAGTGTCAATAATAGAGGAAGGAAGGTACAGTATCAATCAAACTCATAGTTTCCAGTAAAAACGCACGCATGCACACACACAGAGACAATTCCACATATCCAGACAACTACAGCCACTTACACAACAACAATGGTGATGGCAGCACTGTAAAATGGTCTATCACCAGATTATTGTTCATCACACGGCAGCTATGGGGATGATAGTTCTTTCTACTGAGCACAGAAAGAAATGAAAAAGAATGGACAGAAAGAAAAGGACATGTGACAGAATAGCAGGAGTTGCATCATCTGTGAATCATCCTGCATCCTGGAAAGAATTGTGCTATTGTTCATGTGCATGTGAGAGAAGGGAACAGGAAGCAAGAGAGAAAGGAAGGTAGACCAAGATAATGAGAGGCAAAAGGACAAAGGGAATGGGAAAAGATTTAGATAAATAGTGGATATAAGCAATTTTTCTAAGTGCTGTGACCTTGGGCTTCCTGTATCTCTCCACCTCATAGGAGAACGTTCTCATAAGTATAAGTGGAGTTTTAGTTCCCTTGAAATTACATTCTTCTAAATATAATAAATCATCAAATGTATTTTGTCCAGCTCCTTTAAGTCTAATAATAAAAGTAAACACACTCATTGCACCTTATTTTAGCTCTTTGAGTGGAATCTGGAATCTAACAATCTAACAATCTAACTGGTAAAAGGTTTACCAGTTCTTTTAATAAATAACATTATCAATGTGAATTCAGATTATTTACTTGAGTGTGGCATGTTTAAAGAATTGGCCGAGGAAAATGAATATGACATTATTCTGAAATTGTTTTGACATTACAAAATAGTCAAAATAGATTGTTCCAATTTGTTTTTTCCAGTTGTTTGTTGACCAACTAATCAATTAAACAACACATTTTTAGATGTACATTTATACATGTATTTACATTATGGAATTTTTGCTAGCTTTGTGTTAGCATGCTCTTTGTGTATATGATTGCAAAGTTAGCAAACCGCAGTTGTAAAATTCCGATTCCTTTAAACTGTTCCCCACTATAACTGTACTGCTAATGCAGAAGAAGAGAAGGCGTGTTAGGTTTTTTTTTTTTTCTATTGCCCGGTGTGCAGATAAGTACACTAACGCTTTACACTGAAAAATGTAATGTGATTACATGACACAATACACCAACAACTCTCCAGTAGTTAGTAGGTCACCTCAACCTAATATCACAATAGACATGCTGGTCCACTGTGTCCATTTCATGCATTGCCTCTCCAAAACATGAAATGTACACTCATGCAGAAGTTGCAGTCATCTGCAGTAACAGCAGAGGGAGATGTTCTATTTTTAAGCCAACATGAAAATAATAACGGGAAAGGGATTAATAGATTCGGACAATTAAGGCTCCTGGAATGTACTTAATATTTTTTATGCTCACTACTGACTTTGTGGCTTTAAATATATTATCTCCCTCTACTGGTAATGCAATTTCTGCATGCGTGTCCATCTCACGCTTAGGAGAGACAAAGCATGTCTTTTACACACTTTACAGTCAATTCACAGAAAGGTTTCTTTTGGTTGGCTCTTCTCTATTTTGGCTCTGATGGATGGACACCCTTTTCAGGGCAGTAATCTGTTAAATTTGCCAAATTTAGAATAACAAACAGTAAAATTATGACTCTTCTTTTAATCTCTTTTTTAAAATGGATGCATCAATTTTATTACCAAGTCATGCTTCTTCTTGTTGATGATCATTCTATGAGCTTGGCAATTAAGAAGCTCAAAATTGTGAAAGTAAGCATTCCTGCTACTCTTTTTTTAATTTTTTTTATTTACTATTTATTTATTTATTTAAATTGTCACAATCAAACTTGAAAATTGAATAAATAAATACTTTCTGATTAACAGAGCCCATGTTTCTCCTTTTGCTGCCCTCAGTCTGCCTCCCAACTTGCATCCTTCCTAATTTGTCACCCTCTCTGTCAACCACTGTCTTTTCATTGTTTTCTTTACTCTTCCTCTCCACTTTAGAGCTCCTTAGTAACCCTACTCTGTTTCTCCCCCTCCCTCCTCTCAGTCACAGTATGATCCCTTCTTCTCTTCTTTTCATTTTTTCTCCCCCCTACTCGTTTGCTTGCTGGCTCCTTCCCTTCATCTCTCTGCATTGCAGTATCTGTGTCAGCCATCGGCAGAATGTCTGGTGTGTGTGCATATTTGTGTGTGTGGACACTGCAGTCCTTCCTACTGTAAGCAGCTGGACAGCAACTGAGACTGATAGGAGTTGTTCAACACTCTCTTGTCTTTTCCTGTTTTTGCTTTGTTATATCTTTCAAATCGTTTACCTCCTTTTTATAATGCACTTTTTATCTTTTTTTCTGCTGCAGTATACATTCTATATTCACATTGACATTTATTCTCATTTAACTGTCTAATTCTTTTTACTCTTAACATTTGTTGAACAGACATACTGCACAAAGCCTGACAGCTCATCTCTATTACAGTTTTTCTCAAATGTTAAAACACAAAAGCCAATCCTGTAACCCAAATGACCAGTAGTCTAAACACATTTACTAAATGTAGCCACCATATTCCAGTACCATAAACACATGTCACATGAAGACACAATTCACAAAACACAACCCTCTGTACTCATAAATCTAAACACATTTTTCCTTGCTAAAACACATGTTGCAAAACAACTCTGCTCATATTCTCAAATGAAAGCCCATGTGATGCAAAATGCTTGCCACAGTCACCAATCTTTGAACACAGGGAACACACCTGGCGTCAGTCACTACACACAACGACTCAAAATTGAAGACACCTGTTGCTAATGATGTGACCCCACCTATAAAAGCATAGTTTGGTGAAGATGCCAAACAATCACAATGGATGAAGGCATTCGAGCGTGCGGAAGGAGAAGAGCTGCAGGCCAAAGAGGAAGAGGGGTTGAGATCAGAGGAGGAAGAGGTGAAGGCCTAAGAAGAAGAGGAGTTCGGAGTAGAGGAGGAAGAGAAGGAGGCCAACAAGAGAGAGGAGAAGGTCCAGGTGGGAGAAGAAGACAACCTCGCACCATCATAACAGATGATATGCGAGCAACAGTAATTGATCATGTCATTGTCCATGGCATGACAATGGCTGAAGCGGGACGAAGAGTACATCCAAACCTGAGTAGGTTCACCGTGGCCACCATTATCAAGGCATTTAGACAACACAACAGGTATAGTACGCTATTGCTTTCTTTGTCACACTACAGTTTTACAGGCCTGTGAAAGTGGTCTGTTACTTTACATGTAGTTTTACATATAAATCAGTCAATTGACAACACATGTTTCTTTCTTTAGAGCTGAAAGAATGCCACATAGAGGTGGGAGGGTTGCCATATTCACAGCGGCACAAGAAACCCTCATTGCAGATATGGTCCGTGAGAACAACTGCATTAGACTCCGAGAGATCAGAGACAAAGTCATTGCAGATAATGTAAACTTTGAGAACATTGATGCTGTCAGCGTGTCCACAATAGACCGAGTTCTCCGGCGCCAACAGATGAGGATGAAACAGGTCTACAGGGTTCCCTTTGAGCGCAACTCTGCGCGACACATAGAACAACGTTACGAGTATGTGCAAGTACGTATACATCCATGTCCACAGTACAGTTAGTGGACATACTGTGTTGCTTAGTGGCCTACATTACTTCTGGACAATACTGTGCTACCTGATTGACCGTTCTGAACACCTGTACGCTTTTCCATGTTCACAGAGGATAATGCAGTTGGACGCGATGGCCAGACCCCATGAGTACCTCTTCCTGGATGAGGCTGGCTTCAACCTCCAGAAACGAAGGCGAAGAGGCCGTAACATCATTGGCCAAAGAGCCATCACTGAGGTTCCTGGCCAACGGGGGGGTAATATTACTCTTTGTGCAGCTATGGGTACGGAGGGGCTTGTCCACCGGCATGCTGTCCTTGGGTCTTACAACACCCAACGTCTCCTCACCTTCCTAGAGGAGCTAAAAGACATCCTCCTGGACCGTCAACAACACCATCCTAGGCTAGCACATCACATGTATGTGATCATTTGGGACAACGTCCGCTTCCACAAAACACACCAAATCAGAGAGTGGTTCACCACCAACAGTGACCACTTTTTAAACGTCTGTCTGCCACCCTACTCCCCTTTCCTGAACCCTATAGAGGAGTTCTTCTCATCATGGAGATGGAAGGTGTATGACAGACAGCCATACACAAGAGAGAACCTCATACGGGCAATGGAGCTGGCCTGTGCTGACATCCCAGTGGAGGCCTTCCAGGGATGGATTCGCCATTCCAGGGCGTTTTTCCCGCGGTGCCTAGCAAGGGACAATATAGCCTGTGATGTGGATGAGGTGATGTGGCCCAATGCAGCTCGGCGACATGATGCCGCACAGTGACTGTGTGTAATACTGTAAAAAGACCGTGTAGACAATAAAAAAGACTTCACACCCTGATCATGTTTCCGAGAGTACTGTTGTGTGCGATAGATTCTGTTTTTGCATTGAGTTGTGTTACAGTAGTGTACGTACATGCAGGATGTTTTTATAGATTTATAGTCTTCATGTGAAACTCACAAATCTAAATGCCTAATCCTCTGCAGGGTTCTATGACGATCCGTTACTGTACAGTTTATAAAAATATGCATTGGCAGTTATGAACCAAAGAACCTTCTCACAAATTGAGCATTGTGTTTTCAATTGTTTTGCTGTAGTGTGTAATGCTGTGTATAGTGTTTACAGTTTTGACAGCTTCGAGCTGCTCTCTTGGTGTGGGAGTTTGAGTTTTGCAGTGGGAAGGTGTGGTTGTGTTTATGCAGCTTTAGAGAAGGGTGTTGTGTTTGGACATTGGGGGACCTGGTGGTAACGTTTGTGACATGTGTTTTAGCATTTGAGAAAAACTGTAATAGAATGGACACTTTTATCACAGCTTTCACATGACCATTGCTCAGTAGGACCACCCAGAGTGCCGACCAAATGAGAATATGCATCGTTCCCCTTAGCAAACAGACAGTGATCTCACCTCCTGGTGGTAGTAGACACTGGTATCTTTGTCTTCCTCCTGCCTGGCCAACTTGCTGGGTCCTGCTTGGCCTCCTTAGAGCTACTTCTCTCATGCAGTGACTAATTAACACCCCAAAACGCCTACATTTGAAAACCTTGCTACATTTTCTGCCCAAGAGCAAGTTTATTGTACTGTCCTTTGTTGAAACCTGGCAGACATCTGCTATACTACCACTACTAAATGAAATGCCCTGAGGTGAGGAATTGAATTATTAATGAATAAATGTTTCTTTACTTTAAGCCGTATGCCAGAAAAGGAAATAGGAAATGTCATTATTGCAAGTCGTGGATGATTTTGAATTAATAATATATATTATTATTATTATTATTAATAAACAGAGTTTCTATATTCATTGTCACTTTTTGACTAGCGCTCTTTCAGCTGGGACATCTTGACAATCATCTGGAAAAGCAACACCAGCTGCTTATTTCAACAACTCACCTTCTAATATCTGGATAACAGAACAGCTCGGAAAGTGTGAATAACAAGCATATTTCAATTATTGTTTTTTGCCCAGTTCAGTTTAATTTACATGGAAATGTACCCTTGGGTATTTTTTTAATTTTACTGTCATTAAAAGCAGTCTTTTAAACCTTTTAGTGCTCCAACTTGATGATGTTTAGCACTAAATCAAAGGAATTTCAGTCTAACTCAGAAGAGCTTTTCTGAGCTTATTCCAGGACCAGCAATGAGGTTTCCAGTCACATTACAGCACAATTTTAACCCAAATTCCAAATAACTGGCAAAGCCATCTTTTCATTCAGTGTTGGTCATTTGATTATCATAAGTTAAGTCATCAACATCAACAGTTGTAGCTTTTGCAAATAAGCAGTATTATATGTGAGGATATGACATTTAATTAACTTAAAACAGTGCAAACACTAAAAATGTTACATTCTTACCTGTCTGCCATGTTTATTGTCAGAAAAGCAGCTTCTGCATGTTGAAGATTGGATGACTATTCAGAGTAACAATTATCCTCAGGCAAAAGTAACTACGGTGATTATTATCCTATTGTATGTTTAGCTCTTGTCTGTTAACAGCCAGGAATGGCATCAGATAGTGTCTTGACCTGACTGTTTTGCACCTTAAAATGTTTTTTGTGCAAGTTGGATGGTTAGCAGGTTGAAGTTATCTTTAAACATTCAAATTGTTAGCAATCTGTTATTCTTTTCTGCTCCATCTCTCCAACACTGAAGCTAATTTCATGTCCAATTATGTGTTCATTATTTTTGAAATCCTGCTGCTTTTTGTCTCACAATCTAATACATGCAGCTACTGAAGACCCATCAAACCCAGCTGGAGTAAATATAGCTAATGATTAATTTAGCATAGAATTCCCCCATTCCCATCATTTTTTTTTCATGCTGCTGTTTTTTAATGACTGGCTAGGTAGTGCAGGTAGTCATTAATGAAGAAGTGAATGCATACACTCCTACCTATTGATATATAGATGATAATGATGGAAAGACCTGATATGTGAGGCTGGGTCAGGTATAGGGCAAAGTCTGAAAACAGGCGTTTGTTTTTTTCTTCTTCTTCTCATTTTAAAAATAGAAACTGTTTCTAATTCCTTGACATGGCAAGGCAGACTGTTTCTATAAAATGAAATGACCTACCACCTGCTCACATTTTGGAAATGACAGGGACGGTTAAGAGCCTGGCATTGCTGGAGCCAAGTGTAAAGTTGAAGTAAATTGGTTGGGTATTAGAGTGCAAGTCCATGTAATGACTTGCTGTAAGGATTTTAAGATATGCTGTAAAGCTCACAGCCTGCCAGTGAAGTGATGATCCCTCACCACCTCCTCTCAGTCTAAATGTTCTGGAAAGGTTGCAGATTACTCTGGTTGATGTTTATGCAGTTTAAGCTTTAAAAAAAAGGGTCTTGTAATCAAGAGTGGAGGAAAATGTGTTTTCATGTGCCATGGGTCAAATATGCCAGATAACACAAAAAATGTACAGACAGGTCATTAGTCATCGAATGCTGTAGACACTTAGACAGCATATTGTTTATAATTGGTCACAGTTTGTCTGTGGAATAAAGAAAACAATTGTGACCACTCACGGGACAAGAGAACAGTTTTGATTTAATTTGTAAGAATTGTGCTTTTCAAGGTAAAGAAAATAAGGAAAATATCCTAAAGTAAGTCAATTTATGTGGGAGAAATAAGCAAGTGTGAAAGCCAGAGTAAGACTGAAACCAGAGGGAAGCGTCAGGAGGGCTGTGGTTTCTATGGTTTAGTAAGTCAAGAGCATATAAGGCAAGATTGGTGATAATAATAATAATAATAATAATAATAATAATAATAATAATAATAATAATAATAATAATAATAATAATAATTTATTTATGAGCGCCTTTCAAGTCACCCAAGGACACTTTACAATAGGATAAAACACTTAGTAAAACAATGGCAGAATAAGAACAATAAAATAAAAGCACAAGATAAAATGTAACAAACAGTGGATTCACAGTGAATATGCAGATTTGAACAGATGAGTTTTGAGTTGGGATTTAAACTGGGGGAGAGAACCAATGTTTCTTATTTCTGGGGGCAGAGAGTTCCACAGCCTGGGAGCAGAGCAGCTGAAAGCTCTGCTTCCCATGGTGGTGAGGCGGAAGGAAGGTACAGCAAGCTGGATAGAAGAAGAAGAACGAAGTGAACGGGCAGAACAAGTGGTGGTTAACAGGTCAGAAAGGTAAGGAAGGAGCGAGGTTATGAATGGCCTTGAAGGTGAGCAGAAGAAGTTTGAAAATTATCCGGAATTTCACAGGGAGCCAGTGAAGTTCCTGAAGAACAGGGGTGATGTGCTGGTAGGAGGGGGTTCTGGTGATAATGCGAGCAGTAGAGTTCTGAACCAGTTGAAGCTTATGGAGGGATTTTTGGGGGAGACCATGCAAAAGAGAATTGCAGTAGTCAATACGGGAGGTAACAAGACTATGGACAAGAATGGATGTAGACTGGGTGGAAAGAGAAGGAAGCAATCTTTTAATGTTACGTAGATGGAAGTAGGCAGAGCGGGTGAGATTATTGATGTGAGATTTCTAGGAAAGTGAACTGATATGACTTATAAGATGCAGTGACTGTACAAGACCTCTGAAGGTGCCTTATGGTTTATGCCACCAAGTTATTAAGCTGATGGAGTTTCAAGCACCCCGACAACCTGCCACTGGTTTACAGTATTTCAAATCATTAATATATATACTTTAAAACTGCTTCGGACTTAATCTCAATTGCTTCCGCAGTTTGTTCTCCTCATGACTTGGTCTTCATATTCCAGATTTGCTTAAATGTAAGATCTCAACCCAATATCACAGTGAAGTGTTAAACAGACATGCTGGTCCAACATGTCCATTTCACACGTTGCCACACTTATTGCCTTGTTGAGCTATGTTCTGATGTTGTGTCTGTAAGTGGGTGCTGCAAACTCTTGCAGCAATTTAGCAAATTTACATTTGCCCAACAAAAATATTTTATCATTAGGTCTTAAGTAATGCTTGCTTATATGCCATTAAAGTGTTATGATCTGATTGGGCAGGAAAATAGATTTATGCAGCAGATGTGAAATGAACTGCTATGGTCTCATATTAAGAAACTGCTAACTCACTGTAGCATCAGATAACATTACCCTTGACAATAGATTGTGTGTTCTGATGTCTGATGCTGAATACGGAGCTGTGAGCTGTGGGATTGCAGAGCATCTGAACTTCTCTGGGTATATGGATCTCTTCCTGCTATAGCCAATGTTTTCTCTCTGCATGTCAAGTCACTACAAGACTTCAAATAAAAACTGACAACAACGTGAAAAATTCAAGACTTTATCCTATTATGTTCTTATCTTTCCAGTCAGTGTTGTCAGGCCATGCTTTTAAATTAGTTTGGGGATAATCTGTAGTTGTTCTGCCTGTTATGGACTGGCTTGATGGTTGATAAATGGAGACAAGTGAACAACACATAATGTTACAAATCTGATCCACACAAAAACTGTTGCTTGCAGACACATTCATGAAAATTTGTTCTTAACCTACCAGAGCCCTCTCTGGAATTCCTATCAGTCAGTCATTCTTTGTCGACATCCATTTCGTTCAGTTTTCCAATCCTTTTATCCCAAACGTTCTATAAACCTGGGGAACCATCTGTATTGGTTCTATTCATCAATCATTGCAACCTTCTCTGTATCCCAATCCTTCCACTGTAGCTCGTCTTCCCCCTGTCAGTCAAGGCCTATTGTATGTGCAGACAGGCAGCTAGACAGATCGGTAAAGTGTTCAATTCATCTATCATTCAATCACTATCCACTTCTACATTCTCTGACTTGAATCTGCAAAAGAACTTTTTTCCTGAAACAGAATGAATGTCACTAAGACTTGGGGATCCATCACTCAGTTGGCTAACAACTCATCATTTCAAGTCAGAGGTTTCTAAATTAGAGTTCTAAAAAAATACTTATACCAATTATAAATATTCTTTATGACATGGAAAATGACCAAACATGTTAGTGACAAAAATTTTGCTCAAACAAGTTAAGTTTGTAGCTGTGATAGGGTCCGGGCCCCCAGTGAACCTTAATTGGAAAAGTGGAAGAGGATAAATGGATGGAAGTTTAATGAGTCTGATCATATGAGCTCTTGTTGTCGTTTCTAGAAATGGCAGTGCTGGTATAAGGATCGTGTTAGGTCATAAAAATCCTTTTGGATTTTAAGATTTTTAAGAACT